GGTGAGCGCGCCGTGGGGGAGGGCGGTGGCCAGTTGGCCGGCCGAGTTGGGCGCGGTGGGAGGCGCCGCGCCGGGGGGCGGGGTTCGGCGTGGTCGAGTCGAGGCAGCGGCGCCGCGCGCGCGCAAAGGTCACCAGTTGGCCGGCGCCCTTGGGGCCGCGCGCGAGCATTGGGGAGGCTGGCGATCGCTTGGTGGACAGGTGTCGATATGTGTGGCTCGTGGGCCCCCCGGTGCCATGCATGCACATATATATGTATACGTATATACAGCCACACACATGCGCACCCCCATGGACATCCGCACGTGGCCCACCGGTGCCATACGGATATATATATATATATCTCTCTCTCTCTCTGTGTGTGTGTGATATCGATCGGCATGTACATGACTTCGAAGGAGTCTACGAGCGTGTGCAGAAGAGATTCAGTAGGCGTCATCGATATGTCCGTAGCCATGTAGACCCTTACATTCCTTCATAGCCTAGGTAGAATTATGAAAGGGGCCAGAATCCCTCGATATCGGCGAGACATGTACGGGGCGGCCGCTGGCCTACCCCCTACCCTCGCACGATCCGGAGACTGTACGCCCACTGTGATGAACGATCATCCCATATGTATATATACCGACACACGGACATCTGTATCGATATGGATCGGCGCGCCACCGCCGTACCCGAAAGGAGGGCAGCGGGCCCCGCGCGCGCGCCCTGATATTCACCGCCCTGATATTCACCAGTTGGCCGCGCGCGCGCGTGGCGAGAGCCCACTGGGCCGGCGCCCGTTGGCCAGGACCGGCGTTGCGCGCGCGCGCAAGACGGCGCGAGTGACCAAGTCCCCTTGCGGCCCAAGCAACGGGCGAACCAGAGAGGCCCACTTTGTATGGGCGCGCGGGTCGACGCACGGACCACCCCATACAAAATGGGCCCCCCGCCAGCCAGGTCCGGACCCGGGAACGTTTGCACGCACGATGTCGGCCCGGTCGAGGTCGGTGGTTCTATGTGGAAGGCGAGAGCCGCGTCACCTCTGGTGGCGTGCGAGCTCTGCGCCGGCCACTTCTTCCCTGCCAGGCAGGCCGCCTCTCTGTGACTGGTGGCGCACAGGTTCCCTCAGTTGGGCCTCGCTTCAGGAACGGGGGCAGTCGCCCATCCCAGCCGTGGTTTCTACTCTCGAGCGGCCGGCGCGCAGCGTCCTTGGTCGGGTCGTCCAGGCTGTCAACGGTGTTCGGAGCGTCCAGCAATGGGCGCGCCCGTGACCCCCGCGACATGCGCCGGGCGCCCGTGCCGGGCTCGTTTCGTGCCGTGCTTAAAAACGCCCGGGAGCCCCACATCGCTGGGATGACCGAAGCCCGGGGGCCGTTTGGTCCCCGGCACCGATGGAGTCTGTGGATCGTTGGCCGCTGGCCAGTCCTGATACCCAGATTCCCGGGGGGAGCCGCCCCGCGGGAGCCGCCCTTTGTGGGCGTGTCCGCGGGGTCCGGACCCCCCACCCGAGGGCCGTATGCCGCAGCCCGCCAGCGCCCGCGAGGGCGATCTGACGGGATCACCTGCGTGCGGACCGGTTCTGAGGGGCTACAGTGGGGGCAATTGGATGGTCGTCGTCGCTCCCCCGGTACGCCGGGGGCGGTCGGCGCGGCCGGGCGACTTCGTGTCGCCCCTTCTGGATTCACCTACATACACTCCGCCCCTCCGGGGGCTCGTGGGCCCGGCGCGGTCAGCCCCGTTTGCGCGGTGGCCGGCGGCGCGGGCGCCCATCAGGTATTAGGTATCTGGTTGATTCTGCCAGTAGTCATATGCTTGTCTCAAAGATTAAGCCATGCATGTCTAAGTATAAGCAATTTATACGGTGAAACTGCGAATGGCTCATTAAATCAGTTATCGTTTATTTGATAGTACCTTACTACATGGATACCTGTGGTAATTCTAGAGCTAATACATGCTAAAAACCTCGACTTCGGAAGGGGTGTATTTATTAGATAAAAAACCAATGCCCTTCGGGGCTCCTTGGTGAATCATAATAACTTAACGAATCGCATGGCCTTGCGCCGGCGATGGTTCATTCAAATTTCTGCCCTATCAACTTTCGATGGTAGGATAGTGGCCTACCATGGTGGCAACGGGTAACGGGGAATTAGGGTTCGATTCCGGAGAGGGAGCCTGAGAAACGGCTACCACATCCAAGGAAGGCAGCAGGCGCGCAAATTACCCAATCCCGACACGGGGAGGTAGTGACAATAAATACTGATACGGGGCTCTTTTGGGTCTCGTAATTGGAATGAGTACAATCTAAATCCCTTAACGAGGAACAATTGGAGGGCAAGTCTGGTGCCAGCAGCCGCGGTAATTCCAGCTCCAATAGCGTATATTAAAGTTGTTGCAGTTAAAAAGCTCGTAGTTGAACCTTGGGTCTGGCTGGCCGGTCCGCCTCACCGCGAGTACTGGTCCGGCTGGACCTTTCCTTCTGGGGAACCTCATGGCCTTCACTGGCTGTGGGGGGAACCAGGACTTTTACTGTGAAAAAATTAGAGTGTTCAAAGCAGGCCTTTGCTCGAATACATTAGCATGGAATAATAGAATAGGACGTGCGGTTCTATTTTGTTGGTTTCTAGGACCGCCGTAATGATTAATAGGGATAGTCGGGGGCGTCAGTATTCAGCTGTCAGAGGTGAAATTCTTGGATTTGCTGAAGACTAACTACTGCGAAAGCATTCGCCAAGGATGTTTTCATTAATCAGGGAACGAAAGTTAGGGGATCGAAGACGATCAGATACCGTCGTAGTCTTAACCATAAACTATGCCGACTAGGGATCGGGCGGTGTTTCTATGATGACCCGCTCGGCACCTTACGAGAAATCAAAGTTTTTGGGTTCTGGGGGGAGTATGGTCGCAAGGCTGAAACTTAAAGAAATTGACGGAAGGGCACCACAAGGCGTGGAGCCTGCGGCTTAATTTGACTCAACACGGGGAAACTCACCAGGTCCAGACAAAATAAGGATTGACAGATTGAGAGCTCTTTCTTGATCTTTTGGATGGTGGTGCATGGCCGTTCTTAGTTGGTGGAGTGATTTGTCTGCTTAATTGCGATAACGAACGAGACCTCGGCCCTTAAATAGCCCGGTCCGCATTTGCGGGCCGCTGGCTTCTTAGGGGGACTATCGGCTCAAGCCGATGGAAGTGCGCGGCAATAACAGGTCTGTGATGCCCTTAGATGTTCTGGGCCGCACGCGCGCTACACTGACAGGGCCAGCGAGTACATCACCTTGGCCGAGAGGTCTGGGTAATCTTGTTAAACCCTGTC